TACTCGCCCCCATGTCATCCAAGATGTCCACGTCTTTCTTTCTTCAGTCGAAAAGAAATTAAGGTTTTTGATGAAAACATTCCAGGATTTTCTCCATATGATGGACTTCGTTGGGGACCAAACGGTTCAAATGAGAGTTTCAGTGCAGCTTCAAAGGGCTTTAAACGATTTCAGACGATTAATAAGGGTCTTATTGAACAAAACGATCGCTCATTTAATAAATAAATAACGAAGTTTTAAGTTTTATAAGCTCAAATGCTCACCTTGCTCTGTTCCGTGATGCGCGTTCGTGACTCTCCTGTTTGAACTCGTTCATCAAAATGCACAATTCTTTTTCCGAGTCAATTCGTTCGTTGAATGAACCATCTTGATCAAACGTGCGTCACCGAACAGAACAAGGCGAACATTTGAGCTTAAACTTAAACTTTTTTTTTTTTTAAATGAGTGAATGTTTCGCTTGATAAGACCCTTATTCATTGTCTGGAATCATTTAAAGCCCTTTGAACAGTTTGCACTGAAACTCTCTTTTGGTCCTCGAACCGTTTGGTTCCCATTGAAGTCCATTATATGGAGAAAAATCCTGGAATGTTTTCATCAGAGACCTTAATTTCTTTTTGACTGAAGAAAGAAAGACATGGACATCTTGGATGACATGGGGGTGAGTAAATTATCAGCAAATGTTTTTTTTTAAAGTGAACTACTCCTTTAAGGGATAATTGGACAGGCTGACTGTTTTGACTTTTTTTTAGCAACCAGAAAATGTACTTTATTATACTTTAGTAGTCTTTTTTAAAATGGTATAATGTAAACTTGCTCTGCTAATACTAAATGTAGTGCCATTGTGAAACAATTTTGTACAAAGACAACTAATCATAAACTATAGTGCTTACTTTGGCTGTTTAAACAGGCTCTGTCCAGTTAACGTTACTTACTTTTATATATTAATATGCAAATAATAACGTTGGCACAGGGTTTGCAACTGTAAAGTGAAATTTAAAAATATCTAAAATATGGTGGTTAACAGTATCAAGTGTAAACAGTCCATTACATGCCATTTGAGATGAATGGCTAGGGGCAGATTATTTATATGGTTAGATATTGAGGGAAAGATACTCCAGATGATTAACAATAAAATTTAAATCCACTATTTGACGTCATGCTTTGAAGTTTATCTAGGGTCACCAACCATGCTGAGTCCAGACCTGTTTAATCTTTTTTATTACGTTGCTCAGCATGAACAACAGCTCACGTGTGCATTGTCTTCAGGGTCGATGTGTTTGGTGTCATGACCTGCTTGTAATTCAACACCAATTCCTTCCTAATGTAACTAAAAAGCATGAAGTTCATTCAATACAATATAAAATTTTAACCATGTTTTAAAGACGTCTCTTGCTCATGATCATTTATTTGATCAAAAATACAGTAATATTTTGAATATTATTCCAGTGTAAAATAATGGTTTTCTATTTGAATACTTTCCTGTGATCAAAGCCGAATTGTCAGCATCATTACTAGTCTTCAGTGTCACATGATCCTTTAGAAATCATATAATGATTTATTATTAATGTTGGAAACAGTTGTGCTGCTTAATATTTTTTTTTTATTTAATAGTTTTAATCCTTTTTTAGGATTCTTTGATGAATAAAAAGTAAAAAAAAAAAAAAGAAAAGAAAAGAAAAGTAGAAAAGAATTTTTGAGAGAAATTAATAATTTTAAATGTGTTAAATTGACCAAAAATGTGATGTAGTAAATGTGATAGTAAAGATTTATATAGTTAGAAAACATTTCTATTTTAAATAGGCTAAATCTTGTTCTTTTTAACTTTTTATTCATCAGTAAATGAAAATCAATTTAAGTCAATGTCAATGAAAAATATTACAGGTTATAAAAAAATATTAAGCAGCACAACTGTTTCCAACATTGATAATAAATCTGCATATTAGAATGAATTCTTAAGGATCACTGACTCCGAGGAATGGACTAATGATGCTGAAAATGTAGCTTTGTATCACATTTATAAATAATATTTTAAAGTATATTAAAATAGAAAAACATTTTCTATTTTATAATATTTTACAATATTCCTGTTTTTTCTGATCAAATAAATGTAGGCTTGATGAGCAGAAGAGACTTTTTTCAAAAACATTAAAAAATAGTTATGTTTCCAAACTTTTGTGTGTATAGCTACATGTGTAAAAAAAAAAAAGATTCTGAATCATTTCTAATATAACAAATTCCAAATACTGAAAATGAATTAAAATAATTATAAATACTATGTTTTCTGTAAATGCACCCACGTTGCACTTTCAGTTGTGACGCGGTTGTTGAGGCCACGCCCCCTGCGCTTGATGCGTGACTGTGTGTCGTTCAGTCCGTGACTTCAGTCAGCCAGGTCTCAGCGGTTATATGAACTGATATGGCGGGGGTTTGTCACGACATCCGCCGCTCAAATGTGTAACACAACGCGCTGCCGTGAGAAGAGCCGAGCGCGTCTGCGTTTCTCATGCAAATCGGTTCACAAGGGCGCCTTTAAATCTCCCTTCCTCCATCCTTAAACACACAGGCACGCACGAGTACAGCTCGCTCCTTCAAAATGTTGCCTATTCTTAGTCTGGTGGTATAAATGTAAAATCATATTAGGAGCGTCACGCTCAACCCACTCCTCAATTTCATTTAAACCAGGGTTTAGCTATTTCCTGCTTGCATGTCAGGTGTCTTCTACTTTATAGCCCTCTCTCACGGAACTGGGACGAGAAGTGAACAGCAGTCACGCCATTGCCTGATATGGAAGCGACACAGTGGCAATCAGCTTTAATTGATTGGCGAGATTGGGTTTAACGCGCGTGTGCGTGCAGACAGCACGAAAAGACCATTTGGTGTTTAGGTTCCCTGGGAGGCACAAATCCCTCAGGGCTGAGCGCGAGCCTGAAGACTTGTGGTGGAAACAAAAAAACAAACCTCAGCAAGCCTATTTATTGCACAAAGGAAAACATGCCCTGCTAGTAGGCTATATATGACAGATCAGTAAACAACACGGCATGTAAAAATAATAATTGATGCACGCGGACAGCCTACAAATAGATACACATTTGGCACACATTTTTATGTTATTAATTATTTAACTTCATGGTCAGCTCCATCATGCTATTTTCATACAAGAAACAAAACGACCATTAGCCTACATGCTATTAAATGGCATATGGCCATTTAGAACAACAGCAGGGACCAGGGTAAGTAAACAATGACTTAATTTTCATTTAAGGGTGAACTGTTGCTTTAAGCGGAGATTGATGTAGCCTGTTTTGTTCGTAACATTGTTTTGTTATACATTTTAGGATTTTTATTTTCTGAAATAGCATAATCAAAATTAGCTTTGTTTGCTCAATTGTTTGCTTGCTCTGTTATATAGCTGGCCATGTCTTTCTGACGTTTCCAATAAAGTGTTTTCATCCCTCGATAAAAAAAACAAAATTTTACAAACATTGAAAAATAGCATCCACAGATATACAAATACAGGAATGCATCAGAGTATAAGGTAAAACCATATTAATTAGAAGCATATGCAATACCTATTTACAAATCAATAAAACAGCATTAATTTTTTTAGTCTAGACTCCACCCATTTCTTCCCACTCTCACGCCACAGCACGCACAGGATCGCACGCAAACACTCAGTCATATCCTAACGCACGCAAACACACTCATTCAGTGACTTGTCCTTTCGGCAAGGTTCTATTTACATTACACACTTCCCCACACACATAGCGTGCCTGGATGAACTCTATAAACGCAAGCTCCCAGTCCCGCGGGCACACTGCCATTAAACAGTGGTGGCTCCCTATTGGATTAAAGGGATAGTTCACACAAAAATGAAAATTCAGTCATACTCACCCACCCTCATTTACTCCAAACCAGTCATTTTCATTCACCTTCAGAGCACAAACTAAGATCTTTTAATTAAATCTGAGCATTCTGTCCTCATTGACAGCTAGCCTACGCAATTAATGGAAACTTTGGCGCTTCAAAAAGGCCTAATCCATATGAATTTTCTGAAGAGACTCGATCACTTTATACGATGAACAGATTAAATTTAGGCTTTTATTCACATAAACATTCATCAACTAACAGTTGTTGTGGTAAACAAAAGCTCAAATGTTGTTCATTCGGGTGTTACGCAGCTTGAGCTTCAGGCTCTCGTGTCTGTTTATATTCGCTGATGAATATGTCAATGAAATCTGTTCAGCATATTTAGCCATCGTGTCTCTTCAGAAAATTTTGACTAAACCGCTAAATTCATATTTTTACCTCTTTATGAATTTTCCGAAGCATCAAATTTTCAGGTTGTGTGTAGACTGTCTCAATGGAGGGACAGAATGCTCTCAGATTTCATCAAAAAGATCAATTTGTGTTCTGAACTGAAGATGAACGAAAGTCCTATGGGTTGGGAGTGTATCATTTTCATTTTTGGGTGAACTATATCCCTTTTAACACATACAATCAACTGATTAAAAAGCGGTGCAATATTTCATATATTAACGACATCTGTCATTTGCCTACTATTTAATCATGACAGGATAAAATCCAAAGGAGCCATTACACACAGAAAGAGCTGGAGAGTAAATCCCGTTGCGTGTCTCCCAGGGTTTAGCATAGAGAGACACATAAGGTCGGGGTTTCGAGGATTTTCTCTGAAAAAAATCCCCTCAAAGCCCACTTGTTTTATTTTTATCACACACATCCGTGCTATTCTGCTGTAAATGCGGATCAGCTATCACGAAGGCGTGAGCAGTCGAGCTAATCAGCCTTTTTAGACATGATTCACATAACTCATACTGTCAAAGAAGCGAAAAATGGGCACGACAATATCTAAGGAGGATCCTTAAATAAATACAGTTCTGTCAGTGCGTGGGTCGGGTATGTGAATCACTCTCATGCGCTCCGAGAATACTCCGCATTCTTCTAGTCTCTACGTAACTTGAGCAGTCGTCATGGTAACTACGTAACGCTTAAGTTTCACCTCTGAGGCGTGCTTTTCACGCGCATTGATTTATTCGACTCGAGTTTTTGTAGCAAACGGACAAAATAATGGGTATGTAAATACGTTTTTCCATGTAGTAACTTGAGTCTCTTCACTGAACTGTTCTAAACTGAAAGCAATCAGAACGTTCACCAAATATGCAAGTTTTAGTGTTCACGCTAAGTTTAGCTAGCATGTTTTGTTATGCTTCTTTGGCTAATCTCTTTATGAGAAAAGGATTTAGAATGAAAACAACACGACAACTAACCCTGCTGTATTAAAAGCCAAATGTTTGGAATGGAATGAGACTAAATAATATTACATTTATTATTGCTCTTGACTGTTATGTGTGTTGTTATTTTAGTATCATTGAGCTACTACTATCATAGTTTTTAATACTATTATTAATTTTCATGTATTTTTTCAGTTAACTTTTATTTTATTACATCAGTAATAAAAGTTTTTTTTTTTAAGTTTTTGTGTATGTGATGGTTTATCTGTAAAGTAAAGTCAGTAAAATTAGCATTTTCCCCCTTCTATTCTATAGAGAAGATCCCTAGGGAGAGCGCTGATAAAGAGGAAATGGAGATACACACCCCCTCATACCCCCTACCCCTGGAAATACAGCAGGTAAATAACATTAATTTCAGTTTTACACCCCTGCCGTGCAGATGTAATTGCATAGGTTCTCAGTTTTGTTGCTATTACACTCCATCATAATTACACACACTTCACATCTCTGCGTGACAGAGAGGGAAGTTTGATATTTTGTGATCCGTTGTGCTCCGGGGCAGCTGGCAAGAGATACGAGAAGACCAGCATTCATTCTGTCTGATTTATCAGGTGCCTTTGTGTCCTGAAGAGGTCATGTTGCACTGGGTTGTTCAAAAGACGTTTATTAACCAAATCTTTTGACATGGTTGTTGTACCATTAAACCCTCATTACAAACAAAGGGTTTATTTAATTAAGCTCCAAAAATGGCTTGTTTGGATTTTGCGGGATGACGTCACATGGGCAAATACATTTGCATATGACTGCCTCCAGAGCAAGACATTGACGAATAGTTATAGATCATCACGTCATAGGCCCCGCCCACTGGCGTTCAGTCACTTAACGGCCAACATTCGCCTACATTGGATGTGAGCGTTGCGACAAAAGCAAATAGAGCTCATTATTATCACTGACACTGTCTACACTGATACAGCTGCACGATTCGTCTTTAAAAGATTGTGATCTCGATTCAAATGCCCACGCAAACTTTCTTAAATTTGTAAATGACGCGATTGAAATCACAGGGAAATTTAAATCTGTGTTTGCGCTGCCGCTGAGCCAGAGAGAGAGCAGCTTCACAAACAGTCTTTTATCACACAGTATCTTTATTTATGTCTTACAATAATTCTAATCATCACAGAAGTACTAAGGTAAAAGTTTATAGTTCAGATATAAACACCGAAGTCTACGGTAGCGATCAAATTAGAGTAAATCACCTTTTAAAACTAACGTGACGCTTCAAATTAAGATTGTAGCAATTACATCATTACACCAGTAGGTGGCGACAAGTGACTGTTAAATTCGTTTGCCGTTAAATCATCGAGTATTCATGAGTCATTGAATCATTCATACAAACCAATTTCTAAGAAAAAATGAATCTCAAATTAATTGAATATTTTAACTGAGTGCAGCAATTAACATTTGGTCAGAACCATTAGTAAATTACATGCTTTTCGTGGTAGAATCATGTTCCATATTTTAAAGAAAAAAATTGGAAGAGTCCATTTTGTTTAATGTCTCTGGAAAGACTACAGAAGGATCCCGGAATCAGGAACAAATTTGTAATGGCGCCCGGGATCGCGTCTGAGAATGATATGTTTGTTCAGAGCATTTGACGGTAGCCAATCATAACAGTGGCAACCCTTAAAGGAGCAGCGCCTTAAAACAGATCATTTCAGACTGAAGGTCAGAATGAGGATTAAAAAGGATATTTTTTGCTCTCTGGTTTCTCAAAGGAACTGAAACTCAACATGCGCTGACCATGTTTATCTCAGAAAATATATTTTCTGGCATACCGTAAGTCACATGTACACATTTTACCCTAAGATGTGCTATATAGGGAGGATCCCATCCCAGTTAAATGAACATCTAATGGGATTGTGTTTTCTCCGGCGTGCTGAACACCACAGCTCAAAACTATTATCCTTGGGCTATAAACATATGTCTCATAAATAGTGTCTTTCACCCAAATCATGTTTTTCTCAGATGTCAAACAAAACGTAAATCTGACATTTAACAAAGAGATATAGGCTACTCTTCCTGATTGAATTCCCTTGCTGTTTTTTCCTCCCTGGCTTTAACCCACATCCGCTTTTTTAAAACGTTCAGCCTTTCCACTATTCATTTTTGATGTTAGCGTGGCAAGTGGCTCCACTGTGACAAGAGAAATGATGGAGATCCCACTATGGTGCCTCTCTCTAGCTCTGCTTCTCTCTAAATAATGAATGGGATGAAAAAAACAGCCACATTTTTCAACCTTAGGAGACATGAGGGATAATGGCAGCACATGTTGCGTGTTCAATGGCATGAAAGCATCCTCAGCTCGCCCCCTCTCCATGCACTAACAACACCTTCTCTCGCCTCTCACCTGTCTCTGCTGTGCATCTTAGGCTGGGTCCCAAAACAAACTCCTCTGCAAGTATATACTGGCTTTGGTGTGTGAATTATACATTATACGTTAATAGGAGCTGGATGAAAAGCATGGGCTTTAAATGGCACGTGATGTCAATTTGATTGAGGATTGTTTTCCATCCTGAACTCCATATGGAGACACATGTATGACCTATTTATTAGAGGAAGCCTTTCTCATAGCGACTGACTCATACTTTTACAAGTCTCTGAGTTAAAGTTAAGGGGGATTTCCTTATTCATTGAGTCATACATAAAATATTGTTAAAATTTTACTGTTTTAAAAAAAGAAACTTACTTTTATTCAGCAAGGATCATTAAATTGATCAAAAGTGACAGTAAAGACATTTTGTAATTTTACGAAAGATTTATTTCAAATAAATGTTGATCTTTTGAACTTTCTATTCATCAAAGAACTCTGAAAAATGCTGGGTTGTTTCAACCCAAATTTGGGTCAAATATGGACACCCAAATGTTGGGTTAAAAATGTCATTTAAAATGTTAACCCAACTTCACGGTACATTTTTTAAATTACATTTTTAACCCAACATTTGGGTTTGTCCATATTTGGCCCAAATTTGGGTTGTAACAACCCAGCAGTTTTTTCTAGAGTGAATACACAAAGATAATATGATGCTGAAAATTCAGCTTTGCCATCACAAAAATGGGGGTGTTGTTTTAACCCAATTTTGGGTCAAATATGGACAAACCCAAATGTTGGGTTAAAAATGTATTAAAACATTTAACCCAATGGCAGGGTTTGTCCATATTTGAAAAAAAAAAAAAAAAAAAAAAACCCAGCATTTTAAGAGTGTAAACTATATATGACCTCTACATTCCTATATATATTAATAGATATAATAACACAATATGTTTTACTCTGGTTCCACAAAGGAACTGAATTTATTTAAATATAATTGTATATTTTTCATGGCTAGTACACTCTAAAAAATGCTGGGTTGTTTTAACCCAATTTTGGGTAAAATATGGACAAACCCAGCCATTGGGTTACATTTTTAAATTACATTTTTAACCCATTGGCTGGGTTTGTCCATATTTGACCCAAAATTGGGTTAAAACAACCCAGCATTCTGTAGTGTATAAGAGAAATATTAATGGCTGGCATAATTTCTCAACTCCCTCTGTTGGCGGGTGTAAATTTGGCTAGTTATGTATAGTAGAGCCCGACTGATAAAGGATTTTGAAGGCCGATACCGATACAAATATTTTTGGGTTTTAAAATCCGATATTTCGGTCGATATTTTTTTCATTAAATATTGTTGGATTTCACACACGTGTAAAAGAAAAGCTAACTTTACTGCACAAGATACGTTTGATACTTTTTCTCTATGTCTAAATGTTCACTCCTCGCAAGTATAACTTACATTTTACAATGCAGGGACTGTAACTAGAGATATGCTAGTTATAAATACATTAATAATTACTTTAATTAGGCAGAAAAAGTTCATTGTGGTTTCCAAGCTCATTAATGTTAACGTTAGCGGTCTTCCACTGATGATAGTGGCATTAGCTTGCTTTGTGGTTAGCTAGTCTATGATGAGCCATAATTTAGCAATAGATAACATCATACTGCAAATTGTAAAACATACATTTTCAATATAACAGCCCAAGGAGAGATGATTGAAGCGTGTTTCGTCCGTTTTTATTTTATTTTTTAAATATTCATTTATCGGCCATTATGACTGCCGATACCGATATTTTGGAAAATGCCTAATATCGGTCTGGCTCTAATGTATAGATTATGGATGAGTTGAGAAGCTTCTTTTAAAACTCAAAGATTCATTAAAAAAAAGCCATTGCAAAAAAAGAAGTGTTCTTATTTCTCTTGCATAAGAACAATGGAAAACAGCGCTCCACCCCCATCACTTCCAGCTTGTTTGTCTCCATGTGTGTTGGGCTGTGGATCAACATGCGGGCAAAGGTGATTCTTCCCAGCCACTGCGCTTCTTCTCCTTCCACGCGAGCATGTGTGTGTGAAGGCAGAAGAGGATGGAGGGAATTGGGAGAACTCATCCAGGCGTCAAATTCACCCATGACTGCTGAAGGCCATCGTCTGCCCCAAGTCCTATAGTCTACAACCCCCTCCCCAATTCCCCAGTCAACGGCCATCCTGCTGTCGTGTAATGTGTTGGCACTGTGGGTCCAGATGAGAATCTCAGCATCGGCTCATGGTACAGTGAGCACCACGGGGGGTCTTTATCACCATGAAAATCCACAAAGCTGCAGTCACGAACCATCCTCTCATTCACGTGGCCCACTCACTCACTTGCTTGGAAACATAATTTAGGGAAATAACATGATCAGCAGTGTCCGAGAGTATTTCATGGCTAGAAGGAGATGAGAGTATGAGAGAGGCAGAAATTGACACTGGAACCAGTTTTTCTGGAGTAAATAGTAATTCTTTCATATTTACTCAATGTCCCCCCAATAACCCGGATATGAAGAGAGTTTCAACCAGTAGGCCTATAACAAAAAGTGTTTATGAAAAACATTGCTTACCTACCATTAAACGTTACATTTTTGGCTGGTCTAACAGCTCGACAATGGCAAATATTAAAGGAGTAGTTCACTTATAAATTTTTTTTGCTGATTATTTACTCACCCCCATGTCATCCAAGATGTCCATGTCTTTCTTTCTTCAGTCGAAAAGAAATTAAGGTTTTTCATGAAAACATTCCAGGATTTTTCTCCATATAATGGACTTCAATGGGAACCAAACAGTTCGAGGACCAAAAGACAGTTTCAGTGCAAACTGTTCAAAGGGCTTTAAATGATTCCAGACGATGCATAAGGGTCTTATCAAGCGAAACATTCACTCATTTAAAAAAAAAAAAAAGTTTAAGTTTAAGCTCAAATGTTCGCCTTGCTCTGTTCTGTGACGCACGTTTGATCAAAATGAGTCAAAATGAACAAATATTTTTCCGAGTCATTTGGTTCATTCAACGAACGAATTGACTCGGAAAAAGAATTGTGCATTTTGATGAACGAGTTCAAACAGGAGAGTCACGAACGCGCATCACGGAACAGAGCAAGGTGAGCATTTGAGCTTATAAAACGTACAAATTTGTTATTTCTATATTAAATGAGCGATCGTTTTGTTCGATAAGACCCTTATTCATCGTCTGAAATCGTTTAAAGCCCTTTGAACAGTTTGCAGTTTGCACTGAAACTCTCATTTAGACCTTGAACCGTTTGGTTCCCATTGAAGTCCATTTTATGGAGAAAAACCCTGGAATGTTTTCATCAAAAACCTTAATTTCTTTTCGACTGAAGAAAGAAAGACATGGACATCTTGGATGACGAGTAAATTATCAGCAAAATATATATTTAAAAATGCTTGTGTCCCAAATTAACAGTAGCAGCATCACAAAAAAGCTCTAATTTCAACTATAACAGGTTTCTTTGTGTAGCAGCGGTTGGAGGAAGTCTGGCAGTTTGCCGAGGTATTGGGGGTATGTTGCGTGCCTGTAACACTGACCCATTTCTGACACGGGATTTGAGGGGGGTAGATGAGAAGAAGGGAGGGGTGAGTGGAAAAAAAAAGATTAGGGGTCTGTTTTTAAAGGCCGTGCCACATAAACCGCTCTCGGTGTGCATGAGACGGTAGCCTCTGCTGCTTGATGATGATGTCAGAAAGGCTCCGGTTAAATTAATGATGGCTCTTTCCTTGATAAGACCTCTGTTATTTCCAGCCCCCCTGCTATGCGTCATATGTTTAATTCATTTTGAGGCAAGCGCCATCATATCAATTAAAGAAACATAAAATTATGACCTTGAGTGGGAAGTGTGTAATTTCTGCAGCTTTAAAAGGAATCTTTTTGTGGTAGTGTTTTTAACATTATTGGGATGACCTGCTTGTCAGATAATAGAAAGCAAGGGCTTGTCTGAAGTCATTATGTTTGCAATTCTGCTAATAGCACAGAAATTACACGCTTCACCTTTCATTTGACTTCCCAGGCTATTTTAAATGTCTCACCGGCATAACCGCCCAGTCAAATAAGTTTACTGAATCTAAAAGAGTCTTTTATTCATTGAATGTTACGTGAAATGAACTTTTCTTTTTTTTCTTTTGAGAAGAGATGTAGAAACAGGGTCTTTCCTGTCTTGAAGTATCCATCCAGCTCGGTAAGGTGTGTGTGTTGGCATGTGTGTGAGGATGGCAGTGTGTTTGAGTGCTAAGTGGAAGTGTCAGTGCCAGGGGCCGAGCCCTCCCCGAGGGCCATCACAGTCACGGGAACACGTTCCTACTGGTGGCAGACATCGTCCCCTCAGGCCGGCATGTGCGTGTGTGTGTAAGCCCATGCATGCGTGCCTGTCTCTCAATGCGTGAGGGAGAGAGAGCGAGGGGATCAGGGCTTTCAGATTTCGTGCAAATGTCCACATTTCTCCAGGAGGCAGACGATTGCGTGTGCTTGTGTTTAGACAGTTAGGTAAGCAGGATCACAGACAGGCTTTAACTGAGATGGGGTCAGACTCATATGTATTTGTGTGTGTGTGTGTGTGTGTGTGAAAAATCCAGCCATGATCCAAGACATCGCATGATTGATTACAGTAAAGAAAAAGAGATTTAAAAAAAATAAATGACACTGAGTGAATGGGTGAAAATGACTGGTGAGAGATGAGATGATACTAATGCAAATAAATCCTTCGTCTTGTCCACTCAGCTCTATTACTTTGCTATAATCAGAATGAGTCGCAGACCGTATATATATATTTACAGTAAAATGACTGGAACCCGGTCATCATGGTTGCAGTAAGTGTAACCGAAACTGATGTCGACACTAAAAATGAAACTGCAGTGGCTGACCTCTTCTGTTAATTATTGCTTGTAGTCAGAAATGTAATGAAAGGGAAACACGTCGGCTACATTGTGCTGTTCAGATCAAGGTTTAATGGGCTTTGGTGTGGCATTTGCTCTCTGACAGGTCTCTTTCACTCCGGGGAGGAGTAGCAAGGCTTGGTTGTTTGTCATTCTCAGACGGTCTTTATAAAGCTGCCACTGGATTTAGTGAAGTGTGACAGTGTACAGAAATGACCTGTATCATAGAGAAACATAATCAATGACTAATTTGTTGAGTGTGTGTGCAGCGGCAGTGCAGATAGATAGATAGATAGATAGATAGATAGATAGATAGATAGATAGATAGATAGATAGATAGATAGATAGGTGGATGATCGATGGGTGGATAGATAGATGGATAGGTGGATAGATAGGTGGATAGATAGATAGATAGATAGATAGATAGATAGATAGATAGATAGATAGATAGATAGATAGATAGATAGATAGATAGATAGATAGATGGGTAGATATATAGATGGGTGGATAGGTGGATGATAGATGGGTAGATAGGTGGATGATAGATAGATAGATAGATAGGTGGATAGATGGATAGGTGGATAGATAGGTGGATGATAGAAAGATAGATAGATGGATGGATGACTGGATGGATGGATAGATAGATAGGTGGATAGATGGGTAGATAGGTGGATGATAGAGTGGTAGATAGGTGGATGATAGATAGATAGATCCATCGATCGATAGTGGATGATGGATAGATAGATAGATGGGTGGATAGGTGGATGATAGATAGATAGATAGATAGATAGATAGATAGATAGATAGATAGATAGATAGATAGATAGATAGATGGATGGATAGGTGAATGATAGATGGGTAGATAGGTGGATGATAGAAAGACAGATGGATGGATGGATGGATAGATAGATAGATGGATAGGTGGATAGATGGGTAGATAGGTGGATGATAGATAGATAGATAGATCGATCGATTGATAGTGGATGATAGATGGATAGATAGATAGATAGATAGATAGATAGATAGATAGATAGATAGATAGATAGATAGATAGATAGATAGGATAGGTGGATGATAGATAGATAGATAGATAGATAGATAGATAGATAGATAGATAGATAGATAGATAGATAGATAGATAGATAGATAGATAGATAGATAGATAGATCCATCGATCGATAGTGGATGATAGATAGACAGATAGACAGACAGGTAGATAGACAGATAGGTAGATAGATAGATAGATAGATAGATAGATAGATAGATAGATAGATAGATAGATAGATCAGATGACAAATATAGATATTTGTGATAGATCACCTGTGTATATTTTTGTGTTTGTGTTCAGATGGATCATTCAGAGAAGGCCTGTCGTTACTGTGGCGTGAGTTATTTGATCCTGCATGAGTTCCAGCGTCTGCAGGAGCGTTTGTGGGCGGTGGAGAGAGAGCTGGAGCAGGAGAGAGGAGGCGCGGAGAGAGAGCGGAGCCTGAGAGAAGAGCTTCAGGCAGCCTACACTCATCTGGAGGAGCTGAAAACATCTCTGCTTCAACACGAGCAAACGTGAGTCTCACATCTGATTACACGAACAGTTCATTTCATCCAGCAGATCATATATTTCTAGATCAGGCTTTAGTTTTGGGTAACAGCTTTATTTATTCACTATCAGGCCTGTTGCACTCATGAGATTCATTATGGCATCCCAAAGTGTTATGTTTGTATTCTTTGTTTTGAGAGGTCAGGACATCCCTGCTGATAAATCCAGCATCAGTCCAGGCTGGTTTATGCTGGTTATAGTACTGGTCTAGCTATTCTCAAGCACTCCTGCTTCCCATGATGCACCCAGCATGCAAAACACACCGTATGCTGTGTATTTGCAGCAGGGATGAATATTATACCCTGGCTTGTTGAGGAGAGCTGTGCTTTGAGCCTACGATGTACACTCCAGAATCATAATAGGTTTTGGATGGGTACTTATCACTCACGTTTTCTTCGGAAAGTGTAAAAATCTTGTATCTTATCATCCCTTTGCAGTAAACCATCAAAAAGACTTTATGGCAAAGAGAAAGACTAAATCTTACACCAAATCCCAGCATCCCCATTAAAGTGGTGTTAGATTCTATAACCTGTCAGTGCTGCAGATGAACTATGATCACAGATTTTCCTCTTGCTTCTCACTTCTCTCGTGTTCACACCGACTGCAGCCCGAAACATATGAATTCAGTGATGTAGAAAATGCAACACCCACTGCATTACATATATTCAGTCTTTCAGTTCAGCATCCACCCACCTCTTACACGTCATCCTACAAGTCGAACTAGTTAGTGAGTTAGATCGTGACATAAAAACTCATTTTAATATCTGGTGTACAATCATATATTTTGGTATGCCTGTTTGTTGACACACATAGACACGGCTTTTGCATATACAGTTGTCGTTGTCAACATTTTTGTGGATGGGAATCAGGTTTATTATAGTGAACTGAAACTAAAATTAAAACCATAAAAAAAAATTGTTGCTTGAAATAAAATAAACGCTAACTGAAATAAAATATTTATTATATTGAAATATAAATTATATTGTATATAATATTTTTATTTTAGCCAAGGCAACATTTCTTATTTTCACTTAATTTAACTTGATTTACTAAAATAACTAAAACTGAAATAACTATTAATAAAACTATATTTATAAAAAATAATACTACAAAAATTACTAATACTTTGACTAAAATTAAAAGGAAACCAGAAACTATAAAAAAAATACTAAGTTCAAAATATTAATACAAACTATAATATGATGCTAAAATACTCAATTTAGAAACTACTCAATGATACTAAAATAACACTGATGGATCAAAGATCTTACATTGTCCAAGATGGTTTACAATTTTTTTTTATATGTCTGGAGGCAATATATTAAAAAATAACATATAACATAACAAATTAAAACAAAACATACACTGAAAAAAATAATATGCTTTATCTAATCAATAAAACTGTGGCAAGCAATATTATTAATTAAATTGTACAAATTAGAATTAATTAGAATATTAATTTGATCAACTATTACTCAATTCTAATTTGTTCAATTTAATAAATAATATTGCTTGTAATCTGTTGCCACAATTTTATTGACTAAATAAAGCATATTCATTTTTACAGTGTAATTATAAAATAAAAACAATTCTTAATTTCTAGTAACTGAATGTTCTTTAGGGTTTACAGACGAAATTATTGACATGAAATTCCTGATTACTGTTTTTTTTCACACGGAAATAGCAATTAATCAATAATATAAGTATTTGAACATAAAACAAAAGGAAACACTTGATTAAAAAATGTATTTTTAATCGTTTAACCAACATCAGAGAACCATTAATACGTGAACGTGTTGTTGAAATATGACTTTAAAATCTAAAGGGGTGCTTTGAGTTAATATTTTGGGCTCCTACAGGACCTTAGCATGCCGGGATGCCCTGATGATGGTGTGTGCGTATGATAGTGCGATCACTTGGTGTTCATCTATTTGTGTTCGTGTGAATAGTTCCTCGTGCTTTGAACTCCTCAGCTCTGGTTTCCCTCGTGAGTCACTGTGGGAAAGACGTGCATGTGTACGTCCTCGCTCCCAGCTGACGCGGATGCCAGGCATAATTATACCGCCACAGCAATCAAAAATGAACCTCTCAACACCTACGCCTCCGTAGTTTAGCTCAGACAGAAATTCGGAGAATGAGGAGAGAGGTGCGAAGCGAGTGTGTGATTGTGGATCCCATTTCTCCGCTCCCTCCCGCTGTTGCTGATAATAATAGCAGGTTGTGTTGTTGGTGTGAGCTCACGAGAAAAAGCCAACAGCGCAGCAGTCGTGCTTCTAGATCGCCCATTCACATCCAGCACATTCCAGACCCGACACGACTGAGCAGCGGGCGGAAGCGTGTGTGTTTGTTATGTGGTAGACTTCTGAAATGAGGACACAAAGTCACTTGTCTGCTTTGTTTGGCCAGTGTAAATTCATGTTCTAGTTCTAGTCAAAATATTATATTAAAGTCGACACACCACGCCCGCAAAAAATGTCTTCACAGACTCGCACAAAGGCTCTTCGTCACACTAACCTGTGAGAGTCTGTTAATAAATTGCTATGTAGTTGGAGCTGTGGTGTGCTGACTTGACACTTTCCTGTGCATTGTGTGCATGCTTTTCTACTTTTGAGCAATGTGCATACTTTAAAGAAATTAGATTATAAATTGTATTCAAATAGATTTCTGTATTTCTTGATTTTCTACAAAAATATTAAGCAGCAACATTGTTTTTAACAATGTTTCGAGCAGCAAATCATCATATTAGAATGATTTCTGAAGTGTCATGTGACGCTGAAAATTCAGCTTTGACCACAGGAATAATTATATACACTCTAAGAAGAAATTATTCTATTTAGAATGGTTCTAAATATATGGAACTCCAAAATGGTTCTATATAGAACCATTTTTTTTGTATTGGCCAAGTATGGAACCCCAGGGTTCTATATAGAACCCAGAGGAACCCTTTTTTTAAGAGTGTATAGAACCTTTTAGGGGTTCCAAATACGTAGCGCTGATAGAACCTTTTAAGGTGAACTTCATATTCGCGCCCTAGCAACCACTTAGGGCAAACTAGCAACCATAAAACAACATTCACGCCATATCTCAGCTCCAGAAAATAGAAGAAACATGGAGTTGACTTAGACTGTCAACTAGTCTTTAAATATCATCTCATACACTGTATAAGCGCACCATAGCAACCATAGAGTACCCTAGTAACCACCTGCACTCATGAATAAGCCATATCTCAGCACCAGAATATCGTGTTGTCTCGTATGCAATCATGTGCCACATCCTTGCAACCGAGCGGCGAGTTTTGCCACTGCAAGCACCACTTACTTCACACACCACATGGAGGTCACATGACCTTTAACTGGTACACTGTAAAAAAGTATTTTCAAGATTTGTTATCACAACACATTTTCTTTTGTCAAATCAACTTTATAATAATTTATTTAGTTGAGATAACTTATTATTTTGAGTTTCTGATGATTAAATTAATCCCCTTCATTGTATTAACTCACTTTTTCCAGTTCAATCAACTTAAAATTTGAAGGCAACCCAGGTTACTTACTTTTTTAAGTTAAACCAACAATATTTTTTTTACAGCGTAGTAATCACAACATTTTTTCTTTTGTCAAATCAACTTAAATAATTTATTTAGTTCAGATAACATATCATTTTGAGTTTCTGATGGTTAAATCATTCTCCTTCATTGTATTAACTCACCTCTTCCAGTTCAATGAACTTAAAATTTTAAGGCAACCAGGTTACTTACTTTTTTTAAGTTAAATAATCAATATTTTTTACAGTGTATGAGTGATGATCACTTAAAACCAGCTCACTCACAGATGATCATTTTAATTTTAAAACAAAGTTAATTTTGATTCTGATGTAATATTTAAGTGGGTGAATTGTTTAGGCTGTTATTAACTTGCTTATTTTCACCAGTTTGAGACAGATCTGATGCAAGATCACAGCCACCTTTGAAAGAACGGATGCTTTGCACACTATTTAATCTCGTGATTCATACTATTTGTTCTGAGGGAGAAAAGCGCTTCTCCTGTTTTTAATCTTGTTGCTTCCGTTTGTATTTTGAAAGATTGTTCAAAACTTAGTCGTACTTATGTTAACAGTTCAAACCATGCATCGCTGTGTGAAAAAGACGTGGACAACAGCTCTAGCTGAGACTTTCGGTTTGACTCAGGCAGTTTTGCGACCTGCTAGTGAACCCTCTGAGGTGACGCAAAGCAAAACTCTGTGCTAGAGAAAGGAAGAGGCAGATGTGAGATGGCAGTAAATGGATCGTGGGAGAGACAGCATGTGGTAGATGTAGATAGTTCAGTGGGCAACAACATCCGGCAGAGAGAGGTGTGAGAATGGCACAGGCGGTTGCTGCGAATAAAGGCATCGACTATGAACTTTGAGAAGAACTTAAAAGGGAACTTTCAACCAAACAAATAAAGATAAAGGTGAACTGCATCATTTTTACACCACTGAGCAGCACACGTGTGTGTCTACGTGCATGCGGCTTTCGCAATGATATAAATTCATCGGGCCAACAGAGCACTGTACTGGATTTGGTGGTTTTTCACTTCCTCATCGTGCCTTCTCTCAGCTGTATAGAGAACTTGATATCTTGGTACTTCTTGCACGCATGTTTACCAACTGCTGTGTCTGCGGTGAGCCTCTATAAGCACAGATAGACCTCTGTGAGGGTTAGTGCGTTTGCATCATCAGCTGCCATGAATGCACATGTACACGTACAGCACGAACAAAGACACGCTATTGGCCTGCGGTTGGTGCAGGAAGTGGAAGAGGGCAGTATATAGGTGTGCTATTTTTCCCAGCCCTGCAAATACACAAAACGCAGTCTGCACAGCATCTGAAATGTGATGAAAATCGTCAGATGTGACCGTGCACTTGTCGTCTCAAGGTGTGAGCATGCTTTGAATGGCCGTGCTTTATTTATATGCTAATGCGTGTT